ACCACAATTCTGGGTCTGGTATTTGTAAGATCATTTGGAAGAATGGACAAAATGTAGGAATGCCCTCAAATCTGAGAACTGGAAGAGTGCTATATTGGCGAGAGCATTTAAAAACTTGCTACCTTGCCAGGAGAGTATGCCTTATCAAGCCACTGAGTGACTGAAGGACTGTGGAAACAAGCTGACTAAGTTCTCTGAGCGTAGCTGATAGATATAAGAGTATACATGCCGGTAGTGTAAATTGGTAAATGGAAGAGTAATATTAGTTAACTTTTGAATAGGAGTTGATGCTGGGTGTAGAAGTGTGAAAGCAGAGGTACAATTCATATGCTTTCATTTGGCATCTTCATACTCGCTGGTTTTATTTAAGTCTTACCAGAGTTTTTGAGCTGTGTGTCTTGGATGTTAGTTCTGTCTACTTTCCCTTGCCTCTTACAAAATATTAGCAAGACAATGTTTAACTTCAGATTTTTAAAAAAATATCAGGGCATGCAAGGGTTAAATTAGCATTTATCACGAATTGTGCATCCATTATTATGCTCTGGTTGCATTAGTTACTTCATTAACTCTGCATTGCAAAGGCAGTACATTTCTTTCCTTGCTAAATGAACTGCTGACTGACAGCCTAAACTTACTCTTACCATCTAGTTTAACTTCAGACCTTCCTGATTTGATGATTTTTTTTTTTAAACTTGTGATCTAACTTGGATTTGTAGCCTAACAGAAGGAGCAAGGACTCAATTAACTTCTAAGACTAATCTCAGTAGATACTAGGAATTTGAATTCTCAAAGCCATGTGAAAGCTTATATAGTTTTCACAACTGTGATAATGATTAATTAAGCACTTGATTGAAAAATGCTGTTAATCCACATTAGGCAAATTTTACTATGAGCTGGTATTTCAGATGGTATTTTATCTCATAACAGCATCTGATGAATGAGGTGGAACATTCGATGAAAAGTGGAAAAAAAATGGCCCTGTGTGCCACAGAGTTGTAGTTTAGTCGCTATAAGCATCATTTTGTTTATGACTCATCGTGATGACTTTCATATGGGAGCAGAATTAGAATTGTACATCCACCTTTTACTGGCATTTCATGATTTTTTTTTTGAGGGTGTTTCTGTCTAACATGAACATTCTCTGAATGTCTCACTTTATTTCCCTGCAGATTCCCTATAAAAAGAAAGGATTATAAACATTGGAAAGGGTTACTTCTGATCTCTGGCATATGGCTGGATACTAAATTAACTATTTATATGAACCTCTGTGTTACTAAGAATATGTTCTCCTAGGCTGTCTAAATTTGCAGAGCCATAACAAGCAGCTGTAGGGAAGTTGTGTCACACTGTCAATGGGAATGCTGCAGTCATTTCTGTTACTTGCTCTCAGAAAGAAGACAATGACAGTGGTGGTAGTTTAGAAGCACAGTGGGGAGAAAAGATTAAAAATTGATATTAAACAGAGGGGGAAAAAATCAATTATTCCATATAGCATTTTGTTATGCTTAGCAAGGAGCACTCCCAACTTTTCCTCTCCCCAGCCAGGAGAGTTTCACTGAAGTACAATACTGAAACGCTGCTGGTGTCAGATGCAGTGTTCTTATTATCCATATAGATTTAACATTTTTTGGATCCGTATTTGCCCACTAGAGGGCTGATTGCATCTTCCCCTTTAATATTTGATGTTGTCTGAGGCAGAATGCAAAGCCCTTCATTAAATGGATCATTTGTTCCCTTGAAAATGCCTGATACCACACAAAACAAAACTCTCTGAAATGCAGCTTTCTGCTATATTCCAGGGGTGTTTTTAACTCCTAAGGCTCATGAATTTGTTAATGCTATATAACATTCTTGCTCTCTCAGGGCTGATGCTAATTAGATGATTGGAAAATGAGTCCTTGCAAGACTTTCTTTTTAAATGTTGTTTGAAAAACAATACTGGAATGTCTATGGCTGCTAAATTCAGACAAGAGGGGTTGGGGAGTGGAGAGGGGGATGTTTTTGCTAACAGTCAGATTTATCTTCCATTTTTATGCAAGTGCCAGGGAGGTTTTGAGATACCTTCTTCACAATTTTATTTCGAAAATGGAAAAGGGACGTTCAGTCTGTTTCTCTTCATTAAAGTTTATTTTAGGGAATTTCTGACCTGAAGGAGATACCTGACAAAGCAAATAACTTCTGTGCATTCTTTACTTATGGAAAACCAAGTAGATGGCTTTATGGCACTACAGATTTAATGCATGGGGCTACTTAGACTTGATGACATAGTAAAGCTCATGAATTTTTCAGAACAGAATAGGCTGTTTAAAATATATAGTCACCTGTACAGCACAGAAGAGGTTAGAGCCCAGCATTGTATTTAAGTTAGAACCAAACTTTTGGAAAGAAATTTCTCTCAGAAAGGTAGCTGGATTCTCAAAATATTGATTGTAGGAGCCAAGTGATTTGAGACCATACTACATCCTCCAAGCATTGTTTCAGAGATGCATTATTCTCATGATTGGAAAGATCCTATTTCCTCTTGGATTTTTCAACTTGTACTGTCAATTATTGCTTCTCATTATAACTTTCTTTGCTCATAAAACAAGCCCCTAGTAATTGATATCTTTCTCCCTACACAGATTTATATGGGTATTGACCAAGCTATCTTCTAAGCTTTTCTGCAAACCTAGGTAGACTGGGCTCAGGGAATCTTTACTGCAAAGCCAATTTTCCACATGCCATCATTCTTTAAGTTTGATGAACTTGTCTGAGTTTCTCAATAATTGTTGACTACATGGGCTTCAGAATTAGATGTGCTGTTGCAAGAATAGTCGCACCATTCCTGTTTACAAAAATGATACCTGCTATTCCCCTTTGGTTTGGTTAGCCATATTAGCACAGCATTGCACTGGGAGCTTGTTCTCAATTGAATGGTTCCTTATCAGAGGACTGATATTGTGGAACAGAGTTCAATTGAGAGTAATGGAAGTAAGCATCTACTGAGAAGTAGCTTGATAAGTCATGCATGGGATTATGCTGTAATTGCTTGCATTAGCAGGAAACTGGACTTGCCGACTCAGAGGTATTTTTGAGTTCAGTATTCTCCTCAAAGTTCTTTCTAGCGTTGCTGCTTTCAAGGATGCAGTCCTCATCCTGTAAGTATGACTTGATGACTGCAAAATACATATGCCTAGCTTTAAACATTTTGGAAAGTCTGGAACAGACTGCACAAATGTTTGGAGGTAGTTGGGTTTATAAACCAAGAGCTACTTTTTTAAAAAGATGATTCTGATGTTCCTTTTTATTCCTCGCATCTCTAATAGACCTAGGGATAAACAGCCAAATTGCTTCTGTTTGTTGATTCCAGAAGGGATTGGGGGGTGTGTGTGTGTGTGAGGGGGGATTTATATAAGGATGTATTTAGCTTGCATTTTCTGTTAGGGTTTGCAATTAAAGTGGATTAAGAGAAAGATGAAGGTAGGAAACATGGAAACAACTATTAGAGATGATAATGAATGCAAAAGAGCAGTGATGGAGAGGAAAAAGTGTTACAGCAGATGCGTGGTAGAGTGCTAGGGAGGCATGGCTTCCAAGTAAAGGGCTTAAAATCAAGCTGTGGCTTGGAAGGGCCTGTGGAGGTTAAGGTAGGTGCTGAATAAATATTGTCCACATTACATATGCTAATCAGACTGCACACTTCATAAAGCTTGTGGCTCCAACATAAATAGTCACAATAGTAGATGTAATGAAGTATCCTCCTGGGAGGAGATGGGTATGGGGAAGAGCAGGATCAACTCTCTGTGGCTTGTAATACCTGTAGAGACTTGTGTCACTGAGCAGTTTTGTAAACACTTGTAAAATGTGAGGAAATTCCCAGACAAAAACATAAGTCAACCTGATTTGAAGGTTGAATTCTGGTTAGCCAGACTTCTTCTGGGTGGCATTTTTTCTCTCAAATATGACCCTGGAAGTTCCAAGTTCAGGTTCAATTTTGTCTTGCTTAATTGAAAAGTCTGCAAATGGAAAAACTAAGTTCAAAGAAACCTTAACTCTGCCCCTTGGTTGGCACACATTTGAAAAAAAAAAAAAAAAAGTCCAGTAAGTTGGATACAGCTTCTATCTCTCTGTCAAATTATCAACCACAAAAGCTTTTACCATCTTGAATTGTAAAACAGTGCAAGCTTCTCTTAACAGCCTGGTGTCATGATGGAGGAACATTTTTAACAGCAGCATCCATAGTAGATAGATGCCAACTGCTTCTTCCTCTTCAAAGAGTCTGTGTGTTACCAAATACGTTTCTGATCATTATGGGAACAGATGGATCCAAACTCCTAGACAAAACATTTTGCATCACATCAGTAAGGTTGAAATGATGAAAACCCATTAGACCAATGAAATACCATATTTGATATCCAGAGTACCTGTGTGAGAACTGCTAGGAAAGCAGCACTGTTGTTATTCTCAGCATTTTGTATTCTAAATACTCGAGTATCTTCTCTGAAAATGGGAGCAGAGTTAAGTGGGTTTGGTCATACCTGCTTTTGCAGACTGTGCAGTACATGGAATTAACTTTTATTATGAAGATGAACTTTAACCTGGGATTTCCAGGTTTTCCAACCGTTTTTTGACTGAAATAAATTATAGATGAACAAAGTGGTTTTTGTCTGGGAATTATTATGCCTGTCCCCTTCAGATTGCGTTTGGAAAACTTCTGAAGCGCTGCCCTGTCTCCCTTTTAAGCCTAATAAATTAACCTCTTTGATTCTTCCAAGATCCTTACTTGTCTGGCTGCAAGTTACCGTTTGGTCTCTTCTGCCAGTTCCTAGCTTAAGTTTGTCCCCCTGGGACTGGAGTACTTGCAGCTGAGCACAGTGTCCCCAGGTGAAGCCTCCCCAGAGCCACCTAGTGAGAAAAAGTCCTTTCTTCACTCAGTGTGGAAGACCCCATCCAGTTAGAGTTGATACGTATTGGGGCTTGCCCCCGTGTGACGCTGTCTCTTCCCCTCGCCCCGGTCCCAGGTGCCGGATGTGTTCGCTGACCTTCTACTCCAAGTCGGAGATGCAGATCCACTCCAAGTCCCATACGGAGACAAAGCCACACAAGTGTCCTCACTGCTCCAAGAGCTTCGCCAACAGCTCCTACCTGGCCCAGCACATTCGCATCCACTCAGGGGCCAAGCCCTACACGTGCAGCTACTGCCAGAAGGCCTTCCGCCAGCTCTCCCACCTGCAGCAGCACACACGGTAAGGGCCAGAGAAGGCTGGGGGCCCTCCACACTGCATGTTGCCGTCTCATCCCAGCATGCTGTGAGCACCCTCAGTGGGCGACTGCCTGGGGAGACCTCGCTGTTTTCTGCAGGCTGGTCAGGTCTTGTACACAATAAACCAGCAGCAGCGGTATCCGACACATGAGACTTGTCGCTTGCTGTGAGGGGCTGGGTGTGCACAGAGGTTAGCACTGCTCACCCTAAGGGGCATCTGCAATGGAGTGATGCTTTCTGACAGGAGGTAGGGCTGGTTGTGTCAGAGTGAGAGTAGAGCGGGTGTAACAGGAGGACTGTTCCCTGTCACCCCAGCGTAGTTCTGCCAAACGTCTCAGTCCAGGCTTGCAGCCCCCCTGCTATTTCAGCCATAGGCTTCCCACACACAGCTCTGCCAATGCCCCTCAGTCCAAACTCTATAGTTCCTCTCTCTGGATCCTCCCCCGGTGCGGACAGACCATGGTCTCTTGAATCCAAGGGGAGCACGGTTTGAGACAGAGAGAGCTCGTGCCGTGTTTGGAGTTCCTCCGTGTAGCAGATAGTGGTGCTGTCCCACCCCCTTTGTGCCCTCATTCCATCAGCACTAGCCAGATGGCGGTCATGTCCAACTGCTGCTGCTCCTCCTCCTCTTCGGCAGGATCCACTCCAAGCTCCACACAGCGATTGTCAAGCCGCACAAGTGTCCTCACTGCTCCAAGAGCTTCGCCAACACATCCTACCTGGCCCAGCACCTCCGCATCCACTCGGGGGCCAAGCCCTACACCTGCCGCTACTGCCAGAAGGCCTTCCGCCAGCTCTCCCACCTGCAGCAGCACACACGGTAAGGGCCAGAGGAGGCTGGGGGCCTGGCCCTGGCCCCCCCGCGCTGCCGGCATGCACCTGTGGAGCACGCGCGCCAAGCATGCGGGGGGCGGGCGGGGAACGCGGCCGGCTGCACCCTCGGAAGGAGGTGACCCCAACCAGAGTGGACGGAGTGGAGGCTGCGCAGGAGACACTGACCACGTCAGGGCTGAGGTGGGCACGTGCTGTCCCTGGGGATCCTTGGTCTTGCACCGTGGGGGGCACAGAGAGAGAGAGCGATAGAGAGAGGCATTGGCCGTAGGGGATCCCAGCCTGGCACCATGGGGGTTGGACTGAGCGTGTGGAAGCTTCTCCTGGCATTGCAGGGGGACAGGGACAGATAAAATGCTGTAGGTGATCTCAGCCTGATAATGCAAAGGGATGAGTGTTGGAGTGTCTATCCTGAGAAGGAACAGAGCTGCTTTTTTGGTACTGTGGAAGCAAGAGAACAGACTCCTCTTGGTCATGTGGGACTCCTGGGCGTGAAGCAGGGAGCCTGGACCTCCAGACCCCTTCCCAACCCATTTTCAGGTGGCCCACCTGACAAGCTGGCCAGGCATTCACAAGCTCTTGCTCCTCAGTCCTAGTCACTCTCAAATCTACTTGACTACCTATCTTGTCTAGCTTCTAGCTGGACACAGGAGCTGGGCAGAGCTCTTTCTGTCCAGATAGAACAACATACAGAGATAATATCATCCCCCTTCCCTGCTCTCCTGAGCAGCTGTGAGATTTGATCCCAGCCTGCCTGCTCACTGCCTCCCATTTGTGCTCTTCCTCCTCGACAGCATCCACACCGGGGACCGACCCTACAAATGTGCTCACCCTGGGTGTGAAAAGGCTTTCACCCAGCTTTCCAACCTGCAGGTAAGGGGCTGAGCTTGTCCTGCTCACCAGTGGAGGTGGTGAGGGCAGCTGTCAAGTGAGAGGAGAGGCTCCTTGCCATTGGTGGAGGAGATGGAGAAACTGGTGCAGCTGGGAGGAAAGTGAAAGAATACGGAAAAGCTGTTGAAGCCCTGGGCGGGGGAGAGATTCCTGGCTTTTGTGGTACTAGTGACACGAAGAAGTCACATAAATAGCCATATCTTGTAAAATTGTAAACTTGACTTGAAAGTGGTGAGGCCTCAGTAAAGGTACTCTTAGCTGGAGCAAGAGGTTTTGTTTGTTTTACAATGAAATGGAGGGCATAAGTTTAGGGATTTAGGGAAGCAGAGGTGGTGTGTCCTGTTGCAGTATCCCGGAGGAGAGGAACTGGGGAACTGAGGGAACTGGGGGGTTTTAGTCTGGAGGAGGCTGGGGGAAGACCTCGTTGCCCTCTACAACTCCCTGAAACGAGGGTGCAGAGAGGGGGGATGAGCCTCTTGAGCCAAGGAACCAGCGCCAGGACAAGAGGGAATGGCCTCAAGCTGCGCCAGGGCAGGGTCAGACTGGCTCTTCAGAAGTATTTCTTTGCAGAAGGGGTTGTTGGGTGTTGGAATGGGCTGCTCAGGGCAGGGGGGGAGTCCCCATCCCTGGAGGGGTTGAAGAGTCGGGTTGACCCAGTGCTGAGGGATCTGGTGGAGTTGGGAACGGTCAGTGTGAGGTTAATGGTGGTACTGGATGATCTTCAAGGTCTTTTCCAACCGAGATGATTCTGTGAGCTGCAGGGTGTGCCAAAAGGCAAAGAGCTGTAAATGCCTGTTAGTAGCTAAAGCAGATCCTGCCCTGAAGGGCAGTGACAGATGCAGGGGGAGCAAATGTCTAGGGAGGCAGAAGAGGAAAGAAAAGGAAAAGACTGAGAAAGAGTTGTGTGGAGACTGAGAAGATGGGTGTCATGGGGAGTTAGGAGACTGCACTTTTCAAATGCCTAGTATGCTTGAGAAAAAAGAGGGTATCTGTGGGAAAGATGTGATGGGCTGGAGCCAGGCATATCTCCCACAGCAGGTGGGGTGGGGGGTCCAAGGGAGCTTGTGACCTGTCTGGAAGCGGGTGTTGGAGGTAAAGCCTCTTTTAGTACTAATCCTTACTTCCTTCCCTGCGCTTGTTTTCTGTTCCTCCATCCTGCTACCACCTCCCAGTCCCACAGACGGCAGCATAACAAAGACAAACCTTTCAAGTGCCACAACTGCCACCGTGCATACACGGATGCTGCCTCGTTGGAGGTACACCTGGCTACACACACAGTGAAACACGCCAAGGTCTACACCTGCTCCATCTGCAGCCGGGCCTACACTTCGGTGAGTGCTGCCCTGGGGGTTAGCAGAGACAGACACACTTCCCAGGGAGTAGCTCCTCCAGATCTTAACGGGAGCAGCCCCCTGAGCTGTCATGTCTCTCCCCACTGGCTTTGGCTTTTGCGGATGTCTCTCCTCTGACACCATTCTTCCTGTTGCAGGAGACGTACCTGATGAAGCACATGCGGAAACACAACATCCCTGACCCCCAGCAGCAGGTGGTTCAGGCACAAGCCCAGGCCTCTCAGCAGCAGCAGCACTTCCAGCCGCAGGGTGGGGGGGCAGCAGGGGGTCCTTCTGGAGACACTAACCAACCCAACCCTCCCCCCCAGTGCTCCTTTGACCTGACTCCTTACAAGACTTCAGAGCATCACAAGGACATCTGCCTCACTGTCAGCACCAGCGCCATCCAAGTGGAGCACCTCTCCAGCTCCTAGAGAGACCTCAACCCAGGGAGCAGAAAGCCTCTTGTGCATAGCCTGCGCCCAGGGGCACTGCTTGTGCAGCGGCCCTCCTCGTGCAACAGTCTCTGGCCTCTCCTCCTGCAACAGCCTCTTCTGGCCGTGTAACCCTGTTCATGGCAGCCCCTTGAACAACAGCCTGTCTCAAGGGGGTGCTCCTTCTGTGCAACAGCCTGCCTGGTAGGAGGATGCTTCCTTGTGCAAGAGCCCCTTTCCTGTGCTGGGATCGCTTCCTCATGCAAGAGCCCCTCCTTTCAAACCCAAAGAAAGGCCCCCATTTTGCCTTCTCTCTCACTGTAGGATGCGTATGAAGGGGGGGGTGCGTGTTGAGACATGCATGGTGGATGGGATGGAGAGACGGTCCTTGTATGTACAGGGGCTCGGACACATGCTTTCAGCAGGCCACAGAAGAATGTGGCAGGGTTCACAGCTGGATGGGGTTCTTTGAGGATTTCCTTGAGTGTCTAAGAGAGAAATATCCATTCCTGTCCCTCCTGCTTGTGAAAGGGAGGAGGGGTAGCTTGTCCTGCCCCAGGGACTGGATGGGAGAAACCTTCTCCCCGGTGGAAGGTGAGACTGGTGAGGGGGGAGAGGTGAGGCATGTTCTCTGGGCTGGACAGGTGCCTGCACTGCCCAAGGGCTGTGGAGTATTGCACTCTTTCTCCTCCCCTGGTGGAGAGCGATAGAGAGGAGTCTGTCTGAACTGGCTGCTGCCTCTCTGTCCCAGCTGTCTGAGCAGCACGATGGCCAAGGCCCTGTAGGAATGTGGGTTCCTGCTCATTGCTCTTCCTGCCTGTTGCAGATGATGTCCTAGCAGCTTGTACTCCTCCTCCTCTCCCTCCTGCTTCCCACCCACCCCCCCTCTCCTCAGAAAAGCCTGCAGGCATCAACAGCAAACCAAAAAGCAACTGGAGGGAGGGTAAGAGACTGCCAAAATAATCATCACCCTTCTTTCTACTCCCTTTCCCGAAAGGCGGAACAACAGCAGTTCTGACTCTCACATGCCTGTCCTGCCCCCGTTTTCCCAAAGGGAAGGAGGAGGAGGAATAGACCAGTCTTTTCAAGGAGCTGGCAGAAGGCAGGGAAAGGCTAGCTTCTCCTGCTCACCTCCCGGCAGAGTGCTCTCCCAGGATCCCTCTTGCCAAGACGGGCTGGACTCATATGGCAATGGTGGCCTCTTCTGGACCCTGGTCATGGGAGAGAATCCCCAAAAGGTGGACAGTGGAGAGAAGGGGATGAAGATCCCCACAGAGAGACCAATCTAATGAGAAGGGGGAGCCAACAAGAATAAACTGAAGGCCCCTTGAATTTATATATATATATATATATATAAATATCTATTCCCTACCCCTGGCCCGCTCTGTCCTTGCTGTAACTGTTTCTATCTCTGTGTTTATAAAACGCATTATCCTGGCGAATTTTTATTTTCAATCTTCGTTTGTTTTTCCCTTTCTCTTCGTCTTCAATTCTCCTTTCCCCCCTCCTTTTTTTTTTTTTTTTTATTGGTCCACATGACTGCTAGTCTTGTGTGTCACTTGTTAGTTTCTTTGGATCATGGAGGCTGACTCAGAAAAGAATGAGAAGGCAAGGGAAAAAGCACGTATTGTTGGGATTTAAAATCAATCACCCACTCAAAGCCTATAGAATCCCAGACTTCTGTATGAACAACAAATAGGGGCTTTTTTTTTTTTTTTTAAACCACCTTGTATAGAAATAAATTGGTGTAAAAGGCTCCTTGAAGGTGCTGCTGTGAGCACCGTGCCCCTGTGATGTGTGTTCCTACCCCCTGCCCCAGACTACTGCACGAGCATCTTGCCACTGGGAGTCCTGAGTGGCTGTGCGGGCAGACATGAAGGTAGCACATCCCTGCCTCGGGGCAGCCTTGCAATTCACGAAGGGGGAAAGCAAGGAGTTCTGCCCTCTGTGCTCTACACTGGTGGAGCCTGTGGCAGAAACCTTTTCCTTTGCGTTTAGTCACCAGGGTTGGCTGCAAATGGTTGGAGTGTTTTGTAGATCCATAGGTTAGGCTAGAAGCAGCTGTCTGGTTTGACTCCTGCATTTCACAGGTGACATTTCACCCATTTATCCTGTATTTGAGCCCCAAGAACTAATGTGTATTTGAAGTAGGTGTTGACAAAATGCATTGGCTTGTTTCTGAGGCACTGGGACAGAGAGAATCCCTTCTGTTGGTAGCCTGTTACAAGGGCTTTGAGTTCTCACTGTTTAAATACTTAAGCCCAATTTCTCCTTTAGATCAGCTTGGCTTTGACTTCCAGTTGCTAGTCTGGATATGTCCATCCCACCGATTCAGAGAGCCTTAGAGCACAGTGGGGCTTTTTCTCCTGGACTGGTATTTAAACTCTGTAATGTCACTTCTCAATCCACTTTTTGACAAGCTAAATAGATGGAACCTCTTAAATATTCCTCTGTAAGGGATTTTCTCCAGCCCATGAATTACTCTTTTTATTTCTACATCTTGTCAGATTTTTTAGTACCTTGTGAAAAAATTCCCTTTGGAATTGAGTGTTCAAGCCCCAGTGCCATGGACAAGGTCCCCCTGCCCTTTGCCTTAAGTCTGCAGAGGATAGCATTCGCCTTTTTCTCGCAGCATTATACAGGAGCTTATGTTAGCTGCTTGTCTGGTGTGACCCCTAGATCATCATCTGAAGCCTCGGCCTTCCATGATAGCATTTCCCCCTTTCTAAAGGTATGATCTGAGTTCTTAATTCTTAGATACTTAACGTGAGGCTGTGTCTAAGTCCAGTTTGTGTGAATGGACCTGGCTTACTGATGCACCAGGTTGCTTGCCACTTTCCCAGTTTTGTCACCCACAAACTGTATCAGTTGTTGTTTTTTACTTTCAGATCCAGGTTGAAAATGCTATATTGCATCTGACCTACACTAACTTGAAAAGCATCATTCAGTGCAACTTTTTATTAGCTTCTTTTTGAGACTTGCAGGCTAGGCATTTCTTAATCCTCTTAGTATGTGATCATGTACAGTAAAACTTTTTGACTTACGGTGCTAGGTCAATGCCTTACAAAAAAATTAAGTATGTTGCACCTATGCAGTCCCCTTTGTTAAACCAAATGTATAATGATGTCATCTAAAAATGAAATCAGTGTTTGGGGGTTTTCTTTTCCTTTTTTCTACAAAATCTGCATTTCATAAAATCTTTGGGATATAGGTTTTATTTTTCATTCATTCTTCATCTCAACAGCTTTTTCATAATTTTGACATTGAGTCATTTCATTTGCCTTTTGGGAATACTTTCATGGATGTCTTAAGGTATTTCTCTATTATCCCAAGTTTAATTAAAATCAGAATCAGTGGGCTAGAGAGCTTGTTAGTGAACTCTTTTAGGACTCCTGTTTCTTTGCTGACTTAAAAATATACATCCCAGGTAGATGTTGTCTAATCTCCTACTTTGATACTAAGGTACTGGATAGAGGTTGCTGTTTTCATATGATTGCCACATCCATTTTCTTTCTGAATATGGAATTGGAAGTATTTGTTGACTTATTTACCCTGTTCTGTGTCTCTAGCATTTTCACCATTTTTATCTAGCATGGATCAGTACTATTAGTAAGATTTCTTTGGTTATTTTTTTTATCTAAAGAAAGGAATGAAAGATCCAAAATCCCTTTCCTATTGCCAGTAGGTTTGCTAGCCACAAAGCTTTCCTTAATGGTGTTCTCTATTTTATGTCTAATTTATGTCGGTTGCTGTCTAGCCTTCCTCTTTTCTGTGTGTTATGTTTTAGGTTTGGTTTTTTAAAATTGTTTCTTCCTGGTCACAGACTTTCTCACTGAACCCAGGATGAGCTTTTACCAAAAGTTTTCCTTGTTCTTGGTTGTGGAATTAGGGCTTTTTTGGCCACATAATAAATTTTTCTTACAGAAGAGTTCATTCACTTTTTTCTGTCTTATTTCTTTTTTCTCACAGACAACTCAGTTTATAGTTTTGCTCACCTTGAAAATTAGCACAGACTCAGCACACATTTATTATTGCTTGTGGCTCTCCTCTGCTTGTCCATATTCCCTATGAACAGGACAAAATTGCCAGTTTCACTCAGGTTATTATCTTGTCTTGTATGTATCACCTTGAAGTCTGAAACATAGACTTGTTTTGGGTGCCGTGTCTCGTAGTAAAAAAGCTACAGTTTTAAAAGTTGGATTTTTTGCCAACTGGTTGAATTCCTCAGGGAATGGCTCACAAGTTAAAATTCCCTGCAGTGGTTTTTCATTTGATGTGTTAAAGGTGCTTGAAATCGCCTTTCTAGCCCCTGGTTTGATGTGTTGTTTTCTAATGTCTGCTATCTTTTCCCTTCTTGGAAACTGCTACCTAGCATGGGCATCCATATGTATTTAAGGCTGTACAATTCCTGTATTGCCAGTTATTTCAAAGGTATTACTGTTTGTGTTTGTGCAGTTTGCTGCTACACCTATAGCTTTTACTCTTGTCCAGGAAGAAACTAATGATTTTTCACTAAGGGAATTTCTCATCGAGTTTCAGAGATGCCACTTTATTCCAAGTCTCTTTTTTTTTTTTTTCTCATCAGTGAGAATTTTACTTCTCTGTTTACTCAGAGTCCTGTTGCTGGTGTAGAAATAATTCAAGATACCTTACTCCTTACTGTTGTCACTTACTTGAGTTTGGATTAGGTCTTCCTCTTTGGATTCCTAAGACTGTTTAATGTACTCAAATTGCTTCAGGTGGTTTTAAAAGTATAGTTGCTACCTGTGGGATGCAAAATGTAACATCTATACAAAATTCTTCCTTGTTGAGATGAAGCCTCAGATTCCACAGTGTGCAGCTTTTCAGCTTTGTGCAGTCAGGCCAACAGTGGTTCAGTTATTTAACTCCCACTCACAAGAGTGGAAGATTCTGTAACATGATCCCATGGTCCTTCTTAATCAGCTCCCTGAATTCTGTGACCCTGCATTTTCTTTGTGATGCCAGTCTATTTGTTTCTGTATGTCTGTACCCAAGAAGACTATGGAGTTCTGTATTAGGTTGCATCTTGTATCTTTGCTGCAAGGCGGTAGCACTTTTTCTTCTTGTCCCTTACTGAATTGGTTGTCTGTTCTTAGCTGGATTTTGCAAATTATTGTTTCTTTAAAAAGAAACATCATGTAGGCTGGAAATCATTTAGAAAAGTCACCCACAAACAGTAACTGAATCTCAGCTGTGACTAATGATAGTATTGCTGGTCTATAATTCAGTTAAATCTTCAAGAAAGATTTAAGACTTTCATAATTTAAAATCTTGTGGTTAATCAACCGTGTCCCTTATTAGACGTTTTTGTTGTTTATCATTGCCATTAAAACTGCCATTCTATTTTACTACTTTTTTTTTTTTTAATCCATAGGGTCTTGTTATGCCTTTGTTCAGGACATTAAAGTCTTCTGCTCTAGGAAGTCTTCTTTTCTTTTGTAATGAATTACAGACCATGATCTGTATCATCTTTCCAAACAGCTAAATTAAATTGAGCTGATTTAGGTGTCTCACAATAAGGCTTGGCTCCATCACGTAGTACTTCTCTTTTGCCTGCCTTTCTTCTTTATGAATGACCAGGCTGTGTCAGTGTTCAGTGAGAAGTCTTGCTACATTAGACCTAGATGGTTATCTTGAGCCACCAAACTTACATTGCCATAAAAGGACATGTAGTTCTTTTAATGAGATCTTTTTCTTTAAATTTAAACAATTAGCATTATGTTTCTTCTCTTAGCTGAGTGCAGCCCCTATCAATGACACTGTGATTCTGCCAAATCAGTGTTAGGTTAACTGGCTTACAGCAACCTGGATGATCCCATTTAAGTAAAAGTATTTGCTGGTCTTCTGGAACATATTCAGAGCTCTGAAGTTGTTTGGAAAAGAAAGCCCATTGCTTCCATCTGTTTGCCAGGTAGTTCTTTTAAAATTATTGATTGTCAGTTTCTAGCTATGCAACTTTTAGGATATTTTATTTAATGGGTAGAACTAAACATCTTCCTAAATCTCATTGGCAATAGGTAATATTTCATTGCTTCACAGATTTGTCTACATCATCCAACTTTCTTCCTAATATGGAATATAATTATGAGATTCTGCCTGTCTTCTATATTTTTATTGATTATTTTATCATCTTTATATCAACTAAAGGATATATATCATGTTTAGGATTTTCTTCTAATATTTTGCAGGTAATGTACCTGAAAGCTGCCCAAGTTTACTAGTGCAGTTTCAGAACATAGAATGAAATTGCTCTGTACACTTCCTTAACTACAAGATAGGTACCTGTTCAGTCGTCATTTCAGGTACAACAGATTACATTTGTGTGCATGGTTTCTTGTTTCTGTATAGTAGAACACCAAAGTACTAGAGAGATGTAGTAACTTGGTCCAACAAACATTTCGATTTCATGTAGTGTCTATGTAATGAATGGGAAAAAAAACCTGCAAGAAAAGAAATTGTGACACCAAAGAACTAGAGTCTATGCCTAGTTTTGCTACTGAATTAGGGTATGTTTTTGGAACATGGACACAGCTATAATCTGGGGCCTTTGCCATCCTCTTTCATTTGTAAAGCTGATTAACCACCTTGGGGTCAAGTGATGCAGATCAATTGTTTGATGTTTGTGCGAATGAAGTGTGGGTACATCTAGTCTTTCCTGAAGAGGAAGAATTGCAGAGCAGGGACCTCCGAACTGAGAATATTAAGAGTGAGAAGATTTGAATATGTACCTCTGCAGCAAAAAGGGAACCAAACAAGGCTCTGAAGTTGTAGGCCTCCTGCTGGGTTGTGCATAAGGATCCCTCTCAAGCACTGGCCTTCACCTTGTGATCCTTGGACAACATTTAAGAGGTCTGTAAGGTAACTGAAAAGCTGGAGGCTTAATTTTGGTGTGCAGATGTTTACATTTCCAGGGGAAAATACACAGGCATCTGTAGATCAATAAAGGTTGAGAACCACTACTCTAGACTACTTCAGTAGGCTGTTTAGCTTCCCTTTGTGAGATGTGTAGGCCTTCTGGGCAGTACACCTGCTCATCAGTCCTTCATCTAACTTGACTGGTTTAACAATAGGATGTGTTTGAAGTAGGGAACTCCGGGGGGGGTGGGGAGGGGGGTGTGATAACCTTTGGGGTTAGCATATGTGGCTTTGTCACTACAGTAATTACCTGAGTATCAATATATGAGGCTGGGTAGGGGGCAGACATAAATAGTCATGTACCTCTAGAGCATATTCCACTTGCGGAGCACCTTCCTGTAAAATCATCTGCACCCATGCTAGGACTTACACTTGCAGAAGTGTTTAAAAAATACACCTCTCGCCAAATAACTACCATGGTAACAATCCATCTTCAGGTGAGGATGTTTCTGAAACCCTGAGCAACTTTTCTAGATTCAGAGCTCGGGAACTAGTTTGTGCCTGATTGTAAAAATTTCTATTGTCACGAGACCACACAGGTACACAAAACTGCCTCTCTTGTTTTCCAAATTCACAGTGGCAGTTAATGAAGTTAAAGATACATTTGTACACTTTACAAGTGTCTCCTCTTTTCCCTGTCCTGTATCAGCAGTGGCAACAAGTCCAGAGGGAGCTTGGCTTTACATTTCAGTGGGCTAGTATTTTGACATCTCCCTAGCCTTGGCTTAGCAGATAATACAGGATTCTCAGGTGGTCTTTTAACCAAATTGGCAATGTCTGAGAATGCCTGTTTCTTAACATCAGCTCCACTCATCCTGGTAGCTCCATGCAGGATGCATTTGGGGGATTCAGGTACTGTGACAGGGTATAGGGAGCAGATTTTCTTTTTTTTTTATGAACAGCCACATCCTTTCCCTTAATGCAGAGTGTAAGACAATTTATACAAGAATTTTGAAGTACTTTAAAAACAAAGTGAGGTTTAACAGTAATGTTCAGCTAACTAAAGCCAGCTGCTTCACATGGGAACTGAAAAGAATAAGAAATGTGTTTTGAATAATTTAAAATGTCATAAATAAATGACTAGGAATAGGACTGGAAAATGCTGCATCTTCAGAACACAGAGGATTTCCAAATTAACCAAATTGATTAACAGCAAGGTGGTTGATAGTTCATACAGCTGCAATTAATTTTTATAACAGCCCCTCAGTCTTGCATTGCAGGCTGCTGGAGGACTTAATACCAGTATATCCATATAAATAAAAGCATGGTGTCTTGGAAGATCTTTGGGAGGAAGTAAGAAACAAGTCTGGTCACATCTTCTCAGGACCAGAATCTAGCAGCACGCAGCCCTGAGCAATGACTGTTGTTATACAGTCTGTCGGGAAAAAATGGAACAACGTAGGTGAGTTGGCAGGAGAAAGGTGGATTAAATACATCCATTTCCTAAACCAGCCCAGTGCTTCCTAAACTGTCTAGGATGCTAAATTAATGCTGACCTCTTGAAACAACAATCCCGAGTGTTATACAGACTTTAAGGACCAAAATAATGTAGTTTTGTCACGGTTCCTTTGTAATCGCATGTGTGACCTCCCCCTCTTGACCTAGCACAAAACTGTACCACGTCATGTGTGATCACTAGCAAAGGACAGACTGGGGAAGGGCTCCCGAACGCTGTAGCAGGAGCATCTCTTACCTAGAAGTGACTTGTGGTATATGGTCATGAAAGCAGGTCGGGCAAGGTGCAGAAAGGCGCATGGTCTCATGTGTCACTTCACTGCTTTGCTGGTTTGTTAGCTAAATTTGTACCACCATCATTTTACAGCAAAGATGGTCTCTGTTATGATGTAGCACAGGTACTCATCACCGTTGAATTACATGGTGAATGGAAAGATACAGTGCCCTAACAAACTAACAGCACTTCCTCACGCAGATTACCCGGCGGGAGTGCCCAGCCAGCTGCTGAAAATTATCTGAAGCCAGGGGAAACCTCCGTAGCCTCCAAGAGACGAAGCCCGTTTCTTTTGGCGCGGAGATGAAGGCAGCAGGTATTTACCCTCCCGCAGCCCAGGGGACTCGGTTACAGGCAGCGCCGGGCCTGGTCCCCGCCGTGCCCGCTTCGCCCAACTCCTCCCGCCGCCGCTCCCCGAGCCGCCTCCTCCCCGCAGCCTGCAGCGGAGAGGCCCGTGTTGATCCCGCAAGGGCACCCTCCCTCCGCCACCCCCGGCGGGACTAAGGGATCGCCGGCGGAGCTCCGAGGCGGCTGGCTGGCAGGAGACACCCGGCCGGGCGAAGAGGCGACCCTGCC